TTTGGCCTGGTTTTTACTGTCAAATTAGAACATGTCAAAACCACAGACGCTCTATCTAAAAATTAACACAGCCCCTTCTCTAACAACTTTCTGAGGTTTCCACAAAACGTCAGGTAACTCATTTAATATATAATGATTTGAGTCCAGCTGTTAGGTGAAATCAGTTACCCAAGTTACCCCCTTTCAGAAAGTATATTTCCAACCACAGAGGGTGCAGGCAAACAGAATACAGGACTTACCCAGCACTGTTGGATCACTGTGACTGATTGGAAGCAGCAGCACTTAATTCCTGGAATACTTACCAGAGCACAAGACAAATCACCTTTCTCAGCACCGCAGGTTTAAGACATGGTGCAATAATGTCAAACCCAAGCGATTCTTATGCAGAAATCAGCAGGTTGTATGTAGTTATTTCAGGCAGATCCTCATGACTTCAGTGAAAGAGTAACAAAACAACAGTGGCCACTGGCAGTTTTTAGATCTATTATCTTTCATCACTGTGTCCTCTCTATTAGCATTATATATTTTATAGGTACCTTAACATTTCCAACTTTTTTAAGCTTTGAAACTTTTTTTTTTAAATTTCCAATTGCAATTATTCCTAGAGTGAAAAAATTGAATACTTGATTAAAATACAACCCTATTTAATTTTTTTTATAAATTCAATTCAGTAAAAGGAATGCAAAACTAAATTCTTACATAGGTTTACTGACAAAAGGTCAAACTCAAATTTGTGGTAGGTTTGTTAGACCATTGTGTGTTTAAGGACTAAAACTTTATGTGAACAAAATATGGCTGTAGCACAGCTACAGAGTTTTCAAGTTTTAGATTATGGTAAACTGATCCAATCAAGGCAATTGAGAAAACATACTAATAAACTCCCCGCATACTGATTTATGCATTTCAAATTCTCCACCCTCTCCCAGAGCATTGCCTTTAGTAGAAGATGACAGCAGAAGATGGACTTCCATAATCCAGGTACTCAATGCTTCAAAAAGAAAACCCCAAAAGCCCTGAAATAAATCCGCTATAGCTATGGCTTCGAGTGGAAGACCAGAAGCAACTGGACTATGAAAGGAAAAGGGTTGTGATTTTTAAATGTTTCCTACTACATACAAGAACAAATGCAGGATGTGATGTTTGCTTAGTTTTATTAATTTATTTTTGCAGGAATCTGCAACTCTGAGTATGCACTTTCTGGAGGTACCATGCATGCATAGCCTCTGAATGCTTTTATACAATTTCATCTCTTAGTAATAAGTTCATTCACAGCATACACAAATCTAGAATGTAGACACCATATATACAGGATTAAACAAGATCGTGTCGTCTTTTTTTTTTTTTTAATGAAAAAATTTAACAGGGTTTCACACAGCAGGAAATATGGATTAGATACACTGGTGCCACCATAAATAAATAAATTTCAAGAACACAGTTTTTTTAAAAACGGCTTCAAAGGTACTGAAAATCCAGGATTATAATATTGCATTAACTCCATTGATTTCTGATTATTCAAAACCAAGAAAAATAGCCGCATTAATATGTATGGACATAAACAGCAACGAAAGCCCCAAACTGAAGAAATCTGGCAAAATTCAGTCATGGCTAGCTTCATAGAATATTGACATTTTGAAACAAAACAAATGCAGCAGCACATAGAGACAGTACTGACTATGAGATGTGATATCTGTGCATGTCTTCTTTCTTTACAGAATTTAGAGTCACTGCAGTACAGAGCATGTAAATCCTGTGGCACCAAATAAGCTGATGAATTGTTTATGTCCAACTGTCCACTTCGCGTCAGGACAGTCGTTTTCACATTCTCGGGTACACTACTGAATTTTAAAACAAAAACTATCATCCTGATGACAAGCTTGTTTTTAACATATTTAATATTCTCACATTCTTTTTTAAAACATTCTTTATTGTTTTTATTTTGTTTTGTCCCCATTTCAACTCAAGTATTTTTATTTCATTTTCAAGGGGTTTTACAATCAGTATTAAATGTAAAAGTATTTAGAAATGAGAGATGTTTAACTGGGACAGATAAAGTAACTAAAAGAAAAGGCTTTTTTTTTAAAAAAATGTGATTTAGTAGCATATCATAATCAGAAAGTACTGAGACCAGCTCTTTTAAGAATTATTACACCTTTTCACCACACCTCCCATTTTTCAAGGGAAACACACACATACCACAGACACACAGATACACAATTCAATCTTGATCTAAGACTACATTTTACAAAGTACTTCCTTTTGCTTGACTTCCCACCCCTTACCTCTTCACCCAAACAAGACTAACAATTACATCAAATTAAAAGTAGATCCAAAGTTCAGGATTTCTTTTGGTTTACTATGTTCTGAATCATTTTCCACAAGCCCCATTCTAAATAAAGTTTTAAAGAACTACAGTAGTATTCTATAATTAAAGGGAATTCATCTTAATAGCACAGTAAATATAAAACAACCTTTATAAAATTTCAATGAACAGTGAAATTATTTTGAATATCTGAATGTCCAAGTCAGTTACAAACTCTATCACTCTAGTAGCACGGTTGAGGGAAAGCTCAGACATGAAGGAAAAAAGAAAACACAAGTAGTGCATTAACTCAACACAACTGCATCAGCATCCCACCATTCACACACACACTCACACACAAAAGTTTTATACAATACAGTGCATTTTGTATGCCAGCTGACATTAGGGTTTTATGTGCATTCAATAAATATTACATAAACCAATTTTTTTGGCATAATCTACAATTCAGTTGGGGTGTGAATGGCGTCATCTGCTTTCAGAAGGAAAATGGATCTTCCAATACTCGTAATACAATTTACATTCTAACAAGCTAAAAATATTCAAGCACCATGTAAAGTCTTTACTATTAATGTTTTGAGTATGGGCATTTGGAAGTAAAAGAACAGAACAGAAGGGGTTTTTTTTGTACAAGCAACAAATGAGAGTAATTGAAAAGGTGGAGTAAAACTATTGGTACGAAGGAATTCATTTGTGATTTAACAGCACTCATGCAGTCTTCCAAAAAGTATCTTGCTGTCACGGCAGCTTTCCTTCTCTTCCTCTGGTGAAGCCCCGACTAAGATTAGCAAGTCTCCATTTATGGTTATTACAGCTTGGGGAATTATTGGACTGCATGCATTTCCCCTCCCCCCCTTCAAAAGTAGCATCTATTCTGTCTGAAAATGGCACAACCGTATTGATGCCTGACACACCTACTCTCATTTGCTGACTGTCATTTCAGTTGCTATCATTTTGTAATTCCAGAGAAAAATGCTTTGACAGAAGTACAAATGAACAGAAAATTGAAATAAGACAAAGGCATCATGACAGAAAACTCATGAAGTCACCGGTATTGTTTTGAGTAATTAATTATACAGCTGATAACAGCAACTGTTAAGGTCCTGCTTATCCCAGGTATAATGCTTCTGCTCATCTGTTTTCTGGTTTTCTCAGTTTTGCCAGACTGTCCACTTATATAAACAAAATTAATATTTGCCTTCTAACTTCATTTGACAGCAATTTTTTAATACCTTTCCCCATGTGATTAGCTCCCCACAAAGTAATATAAATCATTAGGAAGGAAGGAAAACTAGCTCTGAGGCCTTTGTCTTCGTTTTGCTCATCAGTGGTGCACACTGATTGCTGGAGATCTCTTAGCTCATTTAAAATTATGCTGAAGATTTAATTAGTGCAAGAACATATTGAAAAATGCCAGATAAAATATTGGTTCCTCATCTAGAGATCACAGTTTGTTTTTTTACTGTTATCTTTATAAACTGCAAAGACAGAAGACACCAGATTGAGCAATGCAGTCAAGATGAGTTTGCCTCCACCCACCCCTTACAAACGCTGCTTGATTTTAAAAAAGGATTCAGACGCATGATTGTTCTACCACAGCTTAACATGTTACCACACATCAAGGGAATTGCGGTAATTGACCATATGGATGCGGCTGCCGTGATTTAAAATGAAGTAGTTTAAATCTCTCCTGGTAAGGTTTAGCACATTTTGCCTCACAGTTGGAAAGTCAATTACCATAACTCAGCTGACGTGCTCGCTTGCTTCTCTGAATCTTGACAAAGTTATACAGTAAAAACTCAAATGCACTGTATGAGCTTCTGACCAGTACAGAAGAACATCCTACGCAGTCACACAGTTGTGTAACATAATCACTCAGCTGCCCAAACCCAAGTTTGATTTCACAAGTATTGAGTGCTTTATTACAGCAACCTGAAGCATTCAAACAAATTGAACATCACCTTTATAATACAGTGTATCATATGCATAAAAGTACCAGTATGATTTGCAGTTGCAAGTTTTGTGTTCTTCAACCTACGGCAAAAATTTCCTGACCAAAATAAAAAGAATGCAGTGTGTAATTTTTCAGGATCTGGCATCTGCTATTTTTTATACAGGCTGGTTTATTAACAATGTGCAAATAAACCTCTACTGAAGAGCTAATTGATTAATTCGTTTTCAGCTAACTTTGAACTGGGGCACAAAGTACCTTCTGTGCTGTAAACATCATGAATTCTTCACAAATTGGAAGCTGCAAAGGCCTAAGGAACTGGGTACAAACTCTTCTCATATGCAACCATGGCTGAGCTCAAGTCTTTCAAACCAAATTTGGAGTAGTCTGTGTTTGGCATATGTCCCTGTGCTGCTACAGAGCACAGGTTTAGAAGGTTGTTGTATATAGAAGCATACTTTTAGCTTTGAAACACGATGGCCTAATGAAAGCATGCAGCAGTATTTTCATCTGTAATACGGTAGAATTCATTCTTAGTTTATTACCAGTGTTGACACAGCCAGGTGAGCACTGTACAAGCAAAAGGGATTGTAAAAAATTACCTCTGATTAAACTCTCTGTAACACTCATACGGTATCTCATTTAGTCACCTTAGGTTACCATTTCAAACACCAATTCTTTGTAGACCTAAGTTACCCTGAAAAAAAGCAGCAATTACAAATACCCTTCTTGTTTTTTTATACATTGCGAAATTTATCATTGCATTTACCTGTCTTCTTTTTCAGCAGCTTACAATCTAGAAGCACAGGGAGCCTTTGTTTTCCAGCTAGCTGTGGCCAGGTTAAGTCAGCTCTGGCTCTTCAGTTTTTCTGGTTAAGTGTAACAATTCACACCATTACTAAGAGTCCTATACTTTTTTTTTTTTTTTAAAAAAAGAGGTGTGTTTTTTTTGTTTTTGTTTTTTTTTTTTTTTTAGAGCCACTAAGCAGTAACTATAACCACAGGACTAAACACCAGTAGTTATTTGCTTTCCTGTATACATTCTTCCCAAAATTAATCCTTTTACATTTTCAGGTTTCATTTTCTGCTTTGCTCACTGCAATGGGATAAAAAAGAATTTCACCCTTAATTTATTTTAGTGTAGCACAAGCAGAAACATCTTAACACATTACTCCCACCCCTTGCAATATGAAGATTGTTGACTGGCAAAGGCAGGGTAGATGGACTGAAAGGTTCCTCATGTTTCCTTCTCCTACAGCTGTTGGCTTGAGAGCCTGTTTTCAACCCAATGCAGCCCCTTTCTGATTTTCAGGTGTATCGTGGCATTTCACACTGCTCACAGCGATTTAGTGCTGGGTGATTTAGAAAGGTGCAGCTATCACAATTCCATGGAGCTCCTTCAAAGTCTTCATCTCTTGGCTGAGTCCGTGGTGTCTGTTTGGAGCTGTGTTGATGCTCTAAGAAAACAAAACAAAACAAAACAAAACACTTTTCCTTATTTCAGAAGAGGAGGATGATAGGCAGTATAATATTATTGGTCTGTCACCTCATTAAACGTTCTGTCTTAAAATGGACATGGAAACTTTTCCATTTAGGTAACATTAGATGTCTTTTGCTGAAGGACTTCTAATTCATTTTGTGAAATCTGAATATTCAAAGTATTTCACTTCTGTAATAAGTCGCTTAACCATACCATATTAAAAACAAAAAGAGCAGTCACCACTGTTAGGCCACTGACACTGCTAAAGGTTTAATGGCTCAAAATGTACTAAAAATTTTGCTACTGGCACTGCAGCATCATCCTGTTAAGGAATGACTTCATAGGTTTACGTACAGTAGTCTATTACCAAATTTAAATTCCAATAAACTCTACCTAAAGTGAAAGCCTATTTCTAACTTATATCATCTGTCAGACCATTTGAAGGAACTATTTTCTGCATCTTTTTCTAGCATTTAAGCAGGCTGAAGAAGATACAATATAAAAATAAAATGACAGGCTTGTTTCAAAACAAGATTTTTTTTTTTTTCCTCATGTTTTGCAGTAGGGATGTGTGTATGTGAACCAGCACTTAAGTCTGTTCTCATTCATAAAACCAGTATGTATGCAAATCATACCTTAGGTATTAACCCATGGAAAGACTCAGTTTTCCAATGTCTCCTACCACCACTTCAAGACTTCAGGTTATCTACTAAAAGTAACAAATACTCCTAGGATGTGGAACCACACTTTACAAAATGTTAATATTCAAAACAACATTAGCACACATACCTAGAAGATACCAATCTCCTAAACAAACATCTGTAGAACAGCTTAATCAAAAGAGAATTTATGTTGTAAAAAAGGATTGCGATTTGTAATTGATAGTGCACATGTTGCTGTCATCTGCTAAGAAATCTAGCAGATGGCTGATGACAAAGTTAGTGCAAATAGTGCTTAGGTTTGTCTTCACAGATGTACTTAAAGAAAATAAAACTAACCTCCTCGTTTAGATATAAACCCTCTCTGCTTCACAAGTTGCATAGTCACATTAACAGTGCTTGGCCTTGATAAATTCCTTCTAAGCAAGCACGTAGTGGGCACTAGACTGCATTCACATTGACTGGCCAGATGGCAGCACAGAGCAGACCCTTGTCTGCCCATACCTGTCTGTCTGCCTACACCTTCAACAGCTGAATATTAAGGAAACTGAATTTTTTAAGAAAAAAACCCCATTATTTCTATGACTCCATGTTAAAAGCCAACCTGAGAATACTGTACACCAGCCTTACAACTCTGTCTCTCTAGTAAGTTGACAGATAAAACTGGGAAGACAGTCATAGAAGTTGTACAAATTCTTGTAAGACATGATCCTTCCAAATGCCAAATAAAATCACTTATTTCATGCAAGTTTTACACATTATTTTGCTTTGAAATAATAAATGAAATAGGTTAGTGTAATTCAGAAAAATCTCTTAAAGCATCATGAAGTAGCAGTGCCTTAAATCAACCACATGACGACTGCAATTTAACACGAATCCAGGCAGCTGCCTTTGTGCCACTGCTCACCTGCTACTACCGCCTTTCTCGGACACTATCACCTATGCAGGCAACACGGCTCAGTATTGGGCTTTTTAGAACCACGAGCAGTAGTTCTCAGCCTTCTCTTTCTTTTACATTTCCACACAATAAGCATCTTATTATATCAAAGGGGAAAATAGTTACTTCAAAAGACAGGGAAATATTTCCTTATATGAATTCAAAATTCAACTGCAAAAACCTTTGTGAAGTGCTTATCAGCAACTAGAACTTATTTACAAAATTTGGATTTTCAAGCAGATAGTATAATTACTGATTCAGAAGAGTGACTTCTTTTCCACTATTTCAGTACTTGTTTTTTACAGTAAGAGAAGACACAATATTATAAATCTTATCACACACATAATATTTTCAGAGAAAAGGCCGCTGTTTTCTCTGTATCAGAGCACAGGATCCTAGACTGGCCATTTCAGCAGAAAGAGATAAAGTGTTTAAAAACTTTCACTAACATTTGAAATCATTCTTTTAACAGATTTCAGGAAGAAAAAAAAAAAAATGTTCAAAAAATACCTAAGACAAGAGGTTGGATTCTGCTCCAAAATCACTGCTAAAGGTAGTGGAGTTCAGAGAGCTACCAAGCTGCATGGCACTAGGAGCCTAGGAATGGCGAGCTGCGTCACTCTGGGATGCACCGACTGCATCTCTATTGGGTAAAAAGTGGGACTAAATACATAGCTCCTGTGCTTACATAAAACTTAAGTGTCCTCAGCTGGATATGACTCCCAGATACTAAACAATTAGCACAGAAAATTTCAGAAACCAGTAATGAACTTGTACAAGTGGGACACCCTTATCTCTTCAGACCAATGTGAGGAAATGTATCCTCTTGCTCCTTAAAATATCAGAAGCCCTTGCTGTGCTAAAATTTCAGAGCTACTGTGAAATTCATACTCTGCACAAAAAAATAGGTAAAGTGTGACAAGTCAAGTTAAAATATAATTAAAAATATAAATGCAAATTTTGAAAAGCTGCTGTGACCAACTGAACTTGCATAAAAGATCCCACTACACTATAAAATCCTAACATGTATTAGAAGACAGCTAAATAAATCTGACAGAGCTTTTAATCTAGAAATATTTTTAAAAACCCATAATGTATACAACATTTGTGTACTTTCAACTCTTTTTCTAACAGTCAATAAGAGTATTTACAAGCAACACATTAACAGAACATTCCTTTGCAAGAACATGCCTGAGGAAAACGAGTTGTAGCCAGGATTATTGCACTTCCATAAAAACGTTCTGTTTCGGTTTATATAGAGAGAAAAGTTATAACAATTAGAATTCCTTCCTGTCATCACAGGAGTTTTTAAAAAATGAAGAGGAAAAAAATAAGCTTTCTCAATGCAGATGAGGCAACTGCATTGACCTACCTTTTTTATATGGCTTTGGTGGCACAACAGGACCAGGCTCTATGTTATCATAGAAGTTACACGTGGCTTTCGGATCAAAGTTCCCTGTCAGAAGAGAAAAGTAAGAAAGTGTAACTCCAAGGTTACTCACACACCTACACCAGTGACAGGGACATCCAGAGGCTTCAGATTTCATACATCTTCTTATTATGAGATTATTATATATTAGCTTTTTCTTCAGTAGTGTTTTGTCATGTATGTTCAGTTTTGTGTTGATTCTAGTGATTTTTAGCAGGTTAATCCTGTATTGAAGAATCAACTCCAACTCAATGTTCTGTATTGTTTTAAAAATATGTGAAAATGTCAATCTTTCTGTACGACACATTCTTGGTAAAAAAGGAACACTATGTATATTCTAACCTATAGCAATGTATTTATGTCAAGTTTCTTCCACAGAAAGAGGATTCTCAGACTTAAGTAGATTTCTGTTTGCCAGGTTCTTGGTTACAACCTGTAGTTCTGTTCTGTATTACTCGCTCAGAGCCTTTGTCAGCAAAAAGTTAAAAATTTAAGTAAAGAACACTCACTAAGGAGTATTTTTTTTTTCAATTTGCTCTTAAAGTCAGTTTTACGTCACCACTTTCTTGGAAATGTAATTTACCTTGACCAACAGAAATATTAGCAAGTCACATTTATCAGGTTGCAATGGAAAAAGACACCTTTTAGAGGTAAGTTGATATTGATAATCAAAACTGAACTTTAAAATTAGAGTCCAAGAATCCGCACTTCAGTACATACTACATTAGAATCGCAGACTCATTTAGGATGGAAAAGACCTTTAAGATCATCAAGTCCAACCACTGTCACATCCACCACTAAATCATGTCCCTAAGCACCTCATCTACACATCTTTTAAATATCTCCAGGGACAATGACTCAACCACCTCCCTGGGCAGCCTGTTCCAATGCTTGATAACTTTTTTGGTGAACAAGTTTTTCTTAATATCCAACCTAAACCTCTTCTGGTGCAACTTGAGGCCATTTCCTCTTGTCACTTCAGAAAAGAGACCAACACCCACCTCTCTACACCCTCCTTTCAGGTAGCAATAAAGTCTCTCCTCAGCCTCCGCCAGGCTAACCAACCCCAGTTCCCTCAGCCGCTCCTCATAAGACTTGTTCTCCAGCCCCTTCACCAGCTTCGTTGCCCTTCTCTGGACACAATCCAGCACCTCCATGTCTTTCTTGTAGTGAGGGGCCCAAAACTGAACACAGTGCTTGAGGTGTGGCCTCACCAGTGCCAAGTACAGGGTCATGATCACTTCCCTGGTCCTGCTGGCCGCACTATTTTTGCTACAGGCCAGGATGCCATTGGCCTTCTTGGCCACCTGTGCACACTGCTGGCTCCTGTTCAGCTGTCGACCAACACCCCCAGGTCCTTTTCTGCCAGGCAGCTTTCCAGCCACTCCTCCCCAAGCCTGTAGCCTTGCATGGGGTTGTTGTGACCCAAGTGTGGGACCCAGCACTTCACCTTGTTAAATCTCACACAACTGGCCTGGGCTCATCGATGCAGCCTGTCCAGATCCCTCTGTAGAGCCTTCCTACCCTCAAGCAGATCAACACTCTCACCCAACTTGGTCTCACCCATATTTAAACTATGTTTTAAAAAAACTATCAATTCTATACCTCTAGATTGAAGGAGATCAACTTCTTTCAGTGTACAGTCAACATTTATCTGGAGCTGTCTGTTGAGGCTTCTCAATCTGGTCATTTCCTCTGGCTAGAAAGAAACAATCCAAAATAGTAATTGTGGGAAAGTCAGTATCTTATCTGACACAGAAATAACATTACTATATCTTTGTTAACAGCTTTATTAGAAACTGAGCATAAATAAGGCACTAAAAAACCAGTCAAGATTCCACTGTCTGTCCCGTTCCCTGTACCCATTTTATTATTGTACTGGCATTTGAGGAGGAAAACAAACCAAATCAACAAAAATGAACAAGTTACTTAATATTAAAATTCATTAGTAAGAAGACCTAATTAAGTGCAAGTTTATAAAACCACACACCTTGTCAAATTCTGGATATAATGATGACTTGCTACATGAGCTTACATTAAGATGATCAGGAAACAGAACACGAGCTGCAGTTCACATTATTACTCAATTATAACCGAATAAGGTCAGAAGTTTATTTATTTGCATCAGAAATTTATTTATTTGCATCACCCCATGGAGTTTCAACATGCCAAACCTTCTAGCCCAGTATATTTAAATAATTCAATGCTGCAAGACAGTAATTATTCTTAACAGAATAATCAGTTGTTTAAGTCCATATATTTGCATATCATTAAGAAACCCCAAGCTACTGGAATACAAAGTGTTTTAATGCTCAGAGCAGCGCCTATTAACATCTATGTAGGAATAACTATCCTATCACAGGATACATTCCAGCATCACAGACAGAGTCACAACATCACAGAATGTTTGAGGCTACAGCTGTGTGTGCACTGTTTATGTCAACACACTGAGTACCTCTGAACTGATCTGGCTAACAACTGCACAAAGTGCAAGTTATTTTTCAGTCAGATGAATTATCTTATCAGAGCCACACAGATTTTGGGCTAGACCCACTTGCATGCGGAAGTCACATATATAGGAAGAATCAACAAGGAAGAGGAGAGAGAGGTGCCAACTATTTCAGCCAACATTGTCACTGAGAAGTTACTTGGCACATCCTGCTGCACATACCAGATGGGAAACAGATTGTCTAGGACAGGGGTCCTCAAACTACGGCCCGCGGGTCGGATGCGGCCCCCCAGGGTCCTCAATCCGGCTGGCCGGTATTTACAGAACTCCCCAACCCCCCCCAGTGGGACTGGGCTGGAACCAGCGCCTCGTCCTTGACCTGCCCCCTGCGGCGGGCGAGAGGCCGAAGGAAACATCTGAAATCTCCAGTCAGACCCAGACTAACTGATGAACACTGGCATCACTTGCTGCAACCAGCAGTGACAAATATGGAACCTAACATTGACCATCTCATTAGCCAAAAGCAGGCCCACAGTTCACATTGAATATTATTTGTTTTTGTTGATTACAATTGTTCTTCATTTTAAATATTGCATTTTTTCCTGTTTTTTGTGCACTGCTACAAATAAAATATGTGCAGTGTGCATAGGAATTCATTCATTTTTTTTCTAAACTATAGTCCAGCCCCCGACAGTGTCTGAGGGACAGTGAACCGGCCCCCTGTTTAAAAAGTTTGAGGACCCCTGGTCTAGGAGATGCAACTACTCACACAACAAAACACATCAATATAACAAAATACCTTTTAAAAAAAATCTGAAACCTTACTGGATGATAACAAGCTGTATATGGCTCAGGTTCTTTACATAGACTTGGGACATATACTTTTATGGGTTGTTGGGAAAGTAACGATCTACTCGGTTCTGTGATCCAGAAAAGCACGTTTGCAAGTTTCAGAAATTCTGTTCTGAACACTAAGAAAGCTGGACACATAACTGTTTCTTAAATTATACGGACTGGCTTACAACAAGCCAAGAACTAAAAAAATCACCTCCAATTCTGAAGATTTTATACCCCAAAATATTTTTAATATACTATAGTTCATGAAAACATAAAAAATTAATTTGTATCTTGAATCAAAATACTAACAAATTGCTTACTGTTGGAATTGCAGTTGTGCAGCTAACTCTTCGAAGCCGTCTCTGCATTAGATCATGCTCCATACCATTGACTTCAGCTTTCAGGCGTTCGAGCTCTTCTTTCTCAAGCTTCAGTTCCTTTGCTAACCTCTCCATCCTTGCTCGCTGATGTAACAGCAAGGCTAATGTTTTACATGGAAGAAATAGTTACTAACACACAAAAACCTGGAAAATTGAGTTCATAACTTATACATAAGATTCATGAGTGACCTTTCTGGGGGAAAAAAAAAAGTGATCATAAACATGCAGCCAACTATCAGTGTGAAGATGCTTTCATGCCAAATGAACTACAGTTTTTAACAAAGTTCTTCCAGAATAAAAACACATTTTAGACAGTAACTTGAAGTTGTTATTACCATTTTGGTCAAAGCTTCTTTTTTTGCATTTGGTCTTTCTTGTCTCAAAAATACAAAGGCACCTGTACAAGGAGACAGCTTCTCAGGATGAAACAGCAACCTAGTTATATTAATGCTGCACTGACAAAAAACATAAATACCAGAAGTAAGATCAGAAGGTAACATACACTTCAGATCTGCTGCTCAGCAGCAGCTGACACACTAGCCTTAAGACATTAGCTGAACATCAGTCCTGAATTTTTTTTTTCACTGCTATTAGAGATTATTCTATAATAACTTTGCTTTTCAGAGGGTGCTGTAATTCTCAGTACTGTGAGTTCCCCAGCGCTCAAAGGCAGAACTACAGAACTTCAATAAAACAGCCTAGAGAATCCAGAAAATAAAAAGCTGGGGTAGCTCAGGTGCTTCAGTCTTTAATTACACAATAGAGCTGATCTGCTGTCCTCTAACCTCTCTCTGCTGTTAATCACTTGCTCATATTTTTGTCATGGCACTGAAATTTATGACTCTCAGTCACAAGCTGATGTTGGGCTCGCAGAGCAGTCAACGAAAGAACTCTGACTAGACAGAAAATAATACTCAGTTTCTGCAGCAGGAAGAACATTTCTCAGTATTCCAGCATGATGCAAAACTGGACAAGTTAATTAGTGTGATGCTTAGCACATTCTGATTTGGCTGTTTTACCAAAGCAAAACCACATCATATCTCAAGAATATTTGTGTAGTAGCTAAAAAAAGAAAAAAAAGAAAAAAAAAAGAAAAATAAGCTACACTGTGACACAGCTTACTGGGGGAGGAAAAAACCCCAAAACATCAACAAATCAAACCAGTCAGGAGCATAAATATGACAATGTTTTTATGAGATGTCAGTATTCTGTGCAAAAAAGTAGCACTATACTTTGGATTTTGTACAGATCCACCAATTCACAGCCAAAGAATAAACACTGAAAATCCTACCCAGTAACATCAGACGTTTTTACAATATAGGCACCAGTATTACTGAACTTTTTGAGAAGCCTAAGTCCTGCAAGCAGAGTATAACAGCTCACATTTTTTTTTAAAGTACTGTATGATTTCACATTATTACCATCAAACCTTGTCTTTGTGTGACTCCTCCAATTTAACATCTGATATGACTACATTATGTAGCTTCACATCATACTCTAGTACAACTCATCAAACACGACTCACGCTACAAAGAAACAGTGGAGATCCAGACACCAGAATGGATTTTCGGTTAAAACTTTTAACAACGGTTCATATTCAAAAGAAAACTAAACAAAATTGTTCTATATTAAGCTGTTCAATATACTCTTCTTAAGAACTCCTTTGTGGTAGTAAAGAATATAGCGTTTATTCTTCTACAATCTATTTTTATGCAGAGTTCAGAGTGCAGCAACACCAAAGGCTCTAATGAAGTCACAGCTGTGGCAGGTACTGCCACAAGAGCAGATGCCCCAAGAAGCACATACTCACTAGTTTTACTGGTTTTGTTTTCCAAATACACAAATCTAGTCAAAGATACAAAGGCAAAACCAGAACTCTACATTTCAGAGTATGTTTTTTCTTAAGTTATGTGAACCTACTTATAGTTTTCTCACATAACTGGTAATCTTTAATGAAGCTGTAACAGGAACACTACCAAACAAAGCACATGGCCTAGGAGATACAGACCTACTAGTGTTCGTTCTCTCTAAATAACATTTCTAACTGGGCCTACCAGGTACAGAATAGCTCTTTGTTGATGAGTTAGAATAGCTCAAAAGACACAAAGCCAAATAAGAAATCAAGAACTGCAGGGCAGTATCATAACCATTGTTTCAGCTCTCTAAAGTGAAAGGAAGGTCAGAAGGAGCAATGGAGGAACAGACTCTCTTTTCCAAACCCAAATCCAGAAACAAAGCTCATTCTTTCAATAATTGCTGATGATTATCATTCTGTCATTACCTCAAATGATTGGTTTGAATGCTTGCTGACCAATTCATTTGCAAAATTTTAAATGTTTCAAATCTATAAAGCAGATTACTCTGAGAAAAGCAGTTTTCAGCTAAAGGTTAGATTTAAACTTTTTTTTAAAACTAAATTACATAATTCTTCATTTACATGTGGCATTAAGACTAACCACATTCTATCCCTATGCAGCAGAAAATACAGCCTAAGATTTGTCTGTCTTCCTCCTCTGAAAACTCTAAGTAAAAGAAGTGAACTTTTGCTAAAGTTCTTCAAAATAATTATTTTAATACCTTTCAAAACAAAAATATTATTTGTATTGAAACCCATAGCAATTTTAGCTGCAATCCTACCTCTCTCTCCTCTTTCACTTAAAACTCTTCAACCTAAACCAACTAAATTGGATTCAAAATCCCTGTAGAAGTCAGTGCTTCAGGTTTTATAAAGCACCTGAGTACAAAAAAAACCAAACCCCAAAATAACAAAATCCACATGTCAATTTATGATACATTTCTTCAACACAGAATTTGCAAACCAGACACACAGCATATGAACAAACCACTTACTCTTGTTAGTTGCAGTGTTTTCTTTTAAGAAATTCCCCTAACATCAAAAGCATAGCAACTTTAAGAACCTCAGAAATTCTTTATGTGTTAGACTGTAATTTGGCAAATCTTTTTAAAAAATGAGAACAAACTCTCTCATTAGATGACTTTTGGTGCAATCTCTGTTCTTTTCTGTCTAGGTTCAACGTTTCTCAGTAAGCAGCAAAATCAAGCTGAAAATGCATTTCACAATAGTACAGTTTGCAGGGTGACACATTTACCTTGAGTGTAAGCATAGTCGTCTGATCCAGAACTAGAACTCCTCTGATACTTATGGCTTCCTTTTTCTCCTCCGGATCCTGGGATTACAGAAATAGGCTGAATAGGTTCTGGTGCTGCAGAACGCTCTTCTTGGTCCACTAAATTTAAAAGATTCTCAGTCGGTGCTCGACCTACTGTGATTTTAAAAATTGTTGGGTTTGGCTGAGATACCATTACCCGAGGAGACTGTGTTGGTGCACCTGTGGGTCCAGTTGGTTGAGTGTAGGTAATATACACTGGATTAACACTAAATGGAGGTTTGGGTTGACCCGACATACCTCTTGATGGAGAGCTTGAAGGAGGAGTAGTGGCTGGATACAGTGAGTGCTGGTTTCGTTGAGATGGTTGATTACTTATTGGTGAAGGACTTCTGTTCATTGCAGTTCCAGGTCTTTGCGGTGGCTCAACTGTAATTTCTATTTTATTCATGGAGCCTTTGGATAAACTAGGTCCAGCAAAAGGAGGAAGATATGATACAGAGTGACCGCCTTGTTTTTGAAAAGTCTGGGATGCTTGCTGATATGGATGGGGTGGGACAGTTGAAGGACTAGGAGGCATGAAAACATGTGAACTCTGATGACCCAACTGAGGAGGCTGAACTTGGTGTTGAGGAGAGCCAAAGGGAGAGGGACACTGGGATGCCGGCGGTGACCGAAAAGCTGACTGAGGGATCTGGGGTTGTTTAGGAGAATACTGAGAAGGTTGGTAGTTCTGTTGATGTGGATACACAGGTAGAGGACGGGGAGAATAATGTGGAACTGGGCCCTGTGGCGAGGAATGCCACTGTGTATTCTGAGGGGTCTGTCGTCCTGAAGAACTCTGAGATGTTTGTCTTATGTAAATAGAGCCAGGAGTCCCATAAAGATTGCTTGGAATCTGTGGAAGAATTTGTAGAGCTCTGGGTACACTCTGTCCAGAGGGGAGGTTTTGTGATACTGTAACAGTAATGGGATTTGTACTGTACCGAGGTATGTGCATATACGTGGGAGGAGGGCCTTGCATAGCAGACGTGTTCATTCCTGGTTGTATGGAAGATGGCTGTGGAGGTGGCTGTGGAGGAGGAGTAGCTGCATTTCTATTCTGGTCATTCATGAAAAATGGATTGTAACTAGGAGAAGCCGCCACAACGGCGGGAGCAGAATGTGGTTCTTGAACTAAGCATATCAGCTGTTTACCTGCTGTGCGCTGTGGATCAATATGTCCATCGCTTGAACTGTGTACCAGTGTACGACCACCATTAAGTTGAGCTCCATCCCCTGCCTGATAGCTGGTATGAGGATGAATACCCAGATTAATGTGCAAAAGGCTATTTCTATTCATTCTGGTGTCATCAGGGCTATGGTACTCCATGTATAAGTATTTGTTGCTCTCCTGTGCGAGGGCTCGACAACAGGCATCTAGGTTGTTGTTGTTCTAGGAGTAAGAATGGACACCTATTATTGTCAAACAGCAAAAGGAAAATACCACTGCTCAGCATTCAACTGAAGCTGCAGTCAAGCCTAGCTTGAACACAACTAGGGATAATGTTTCACAGACAGGAATTCCGAAATAAAGGTAATATCTACTAGGTCATGTCATGCAAGTAGTACAGAGCTCACACTGTATCTCGTAAAATGCTGTGGTAACACGAGCTACAGAATGACACGCTAAAAAAACAAGTCCAGTTTTGGGGAGAGCAATGGTTGGAGCTCTCGGCATCTTCTGCAAGGACCAGGTATGTACAAATAATGCTACTTCTAATAACAACACAAATCAAATTAAACGAGATAAAAATTGCAAACTCTGGAAGGCTGAAGCAAAAATGCAGGTGACATTTTAATGTTTACCCAGGAGTTTACTGTTTTTACTGTTATTTGACTGTTTACCCGAATATTCTCTTTACCTGAAAGTTTAAAAGCCCTACATTTTAAACCAGTTTCTTTTGGTGAAATGGAATTTAGTGCCTTAAAAACAAATTCATAATGTGTATTGCTTGAAAAAGTATTGGCAATTCCATAAAGCATCTTACAATTCTGACATAATTTCAACTCAATTTCAATTCATATATTAGTGAGGAAACTAAGTAAACCCTGACTTGTTCTGTGGTACCAACAGCTGAAACTATACAGAAAATAAATTATGAATCAAATCAAAAGTATAATGGAGAATTCCCTTTCCCTTCTTCCCCTATCTACACATTTTAGCTTAATCTAGTCTCGTTAAAGGAACGGTACTAATGATAGCTTTTCCAAAAGAGTAAAATCACTAGAAAGCATTCCAGATTGTGGATTTATTTTCTTCCTTCCCAGTTTCTCATACAACAGCCTGTATCAGCTGTGGTTCAGTTTTTAATTTAAACAGTAGTTAAAGAAAAAAAAAAAAATCACTTTAAGTCAAGTTCAATTACATCTGTCCCTCAGCACCCTAACTTTTTGTTAGATGTGATCCCAGACTGGTACCTTCTATGACGTACAGCACCTCCTACCAGAACAAGCGTGTACACATTTATAAATACATGCATACATCCCTGCCTTCCTTAGTGTGCTGAGATTACCATTCTAAGGAATATACATAAATAATGTTTAAACTTCTATTTTAAATACTATCACTATATAAGGTCTGTATACATATTAATACTCATGTGGCCTTGCGATACAATTTTCAACAGCCTATCCAGCTGGTTGAAAAGTCACAGTTACACTCCTTTTCTAAAGGACTGACACCTAGTCAGTCTTAATACTGAAGCAAAGATGATTTCCCCCAAAACTTCATGAGATTTCACCATCAGATGAACACACATATCAGCATCTTCTCAGATGAAGACTTACTATTGAACATGACAGAAGAGTCCAGCACTTAATTACATATGGCTCTCACTCTGTGGATACTTCTCCCTGACTACTTCCCCTTGAGGCTTTGAGCAACCTGGTCTAGTGGAAGTCGTCCCTGCTCATGGCAGTGGGGTTGGAACCAGATGATCTTTAAGGTCCCTTCCAACCCAAACCATTCTATGCTTCTATGCTTCGTGCCAAGCTCCCCTTCTAGACCTCAATGGTCAATGCGAAGAACCAGACATATCACAGAGAAAATTAAAACCAGAACATGTGGGAACCAGACTTTGTAATAATAACCAGCACTAGAGTGCCAGGACAGCAGTCTCAAAAAAGTTAACTGCTGCCATCAGCCACCTGCCCTCTAAACAGGACTTCATAGAGAGTCCTCAGCTTCCTTAGGGCACTTATCCGGGCAGATGGAGATAGAGAGAATGTAGACAGGACAAGCCCTAATCTGATTTTCTCATGGTTGTCATTTGAAAGGACTCTCAATTTTTTTTAATAGAATCAAAACTCATAGTGGTTTAAATCTAGAGCATGTATTGCAACAGGTTAATGGAAACCACCTCATGTATCTTAAAAACAAATATAAAGTGGGTTTGGAAGAAAATTCTATACAGATATTTGCAGTGTAATGTTAACTACCTATCCAGAACACCATATTATAGATAAAGAACACTATATGCTTCTGCAGCATTAGGGGTTCTTTAATTTTATCAGTTTAAAGATATCTATGACTTAAACATAGTTCATCAAAAGGATCATGTACTTAACAGTAAAGAAAAAACTGTCAGGATAAGTAAAGCTTTACACTGCAGGGCTTCCCCTGCTTTACATTTGTCTGGAAACAATTCATTTGCATTTATATGATTTAAAAGACACACAACGCAAAAATTACAGCCACAGTTAGAAGTAAAATCTACTCTCCTGCCAGGGACAGGTAGGATGCAAATACAGCTTTGCTACTTTCACATGCAGCAGTTTATCACATTAGGTTCCACCTCAGCCACAGCCACACAAGGCCAAACCAGACAGTGTATGTTTCTATTCCACTCCTGAATTTTCCCATTAATGGAAGGTATTGCCAGATGACCACAGCTTTGAAAAACGATTATGTGTAGTCACTTATTATCACTTCCAATTTGCGACTTTAGATAAAGGTGGAAAGAAGAAATTGAAAGGGGGGGGAAAAACAAAACCAAAAAAAAACCCCTGCTACCTGACTTGGAAACAGAGAAGTAAAAATAAACCTTTGGACAGCTGTGGCAAAAAGATGCCATGAAGACAGAAAACCTTTAGATTCCTAGCTAAAGCCAGTTCCTTATCTTGGAAGAACGAGTCACTGTTTGCTAAAATTTCCTCCAGTAAGTTATTCATGTGGTCATCATCAATAATAATTCCATCAGCCACTTTCCTTCTTCCCTATATGTATGCAGTCACAGGTTGCATAAACAAGGAAGAATAGTCAGCAAAATCTGCCACAAACATAAGTGAAGGATGATAAATCTTTGTAGATAAAAGACATGACAAAAATGCAAGTAGCGGAGTCTTCCACTCTTTCAAAATAAAACCGAAAGAATGAAAATCTATGTTCCATGTATATTTTGGAAAAGAATAAAATAAAAATAAAATACACAGACTCTTAAAAACTCTTCACCATACCTGAAGCATGCACTGAGATACCACCCCTTCAGGTATCTCAGGGAAACGTTGTCGGAGATCATGGAGTACCTGCACATCGAGTTGTTGACTGCCCTGCGCCATGCCAGATTGATGATGTTCCAGATTACCAAAAAACGGAAGTCAACAGGCCTTCCAATGATTATGGTCTTCTGAGGCTTCTGGCATTTTCTGCAGGAGAGAAAATACAAGCAATCATCTTTTAAGCCACCACAGCAACTTGTCCTGCTTCTCCAGCTGCATGTGTAAAAGAATTACTGCATTACATTTTAGATCTAGATATCTAAAGACAATGGCTTAAACACAAGCGTGAGAATCATCATGTCTCAAATTATAATACTGAAACACTTAACGTAGCACAGGTATGTCTACATGACACTTCACTGGAATGTGCTAGTTCAGGTCTTTACAGTCCTACTGTGGCACCACGTAGGCATAACGTGAATTAATCTGACCTGCATAAAACGGAATCGTTATGTATTTACTCCCAGTGAAATTCTGAACAGTTTGTAGAAAAGTCTGAAGTTATCGTAAAACATGTGTGTCTGTTATTTACAACATACTAGAAATAACAGGTTGGAAAACTAAGTAGCACAATTATTCAAAAATACTCCTTAAGGGCTTAAGTTCTTTCCTCTTCACATCACTACAGATTCAAAAAGCTGAAAGAAATTTTTGTGAAACACAACAAGAGTTAAACAGAATTTTAAAAGTCCTTTTTAGGATTATGATAAACATCTATTTAAGGTTATTGCAAAGCACCTATGATATTCATACCAATATGATTAGTGACAAAAAAACCCCTCTATCCTTTTGAGGATTCTTGTATCCAACAGCAAAAAGATCCTATCTGAACTTCAATACCCAAAGACTACTAGAAGGCAAATACAGTCTGAGTCAACAAGTGCTTTTCTCACTTATGGCTCATGATGCCTTTCTTGTAGATGGGTGTCACACTGGCAAGCCTCCAGTCATCTGAGACCTCCCCTGTTAACCAGGACTGCTGATAAATGATGGAGAGTGGCTTGGCAAGTTCCTCTGCCAGCTCCCTCAGTCCTCTCAGATGGATGCCATCTGGCCCCATAGACTTGTGAGTGTCCAGGTGGTGTAGCAGGTCATTAACTGCTTCCTCTTGGATTACTGGGGGTTTATTCTGCTCTCCGTCCCCATCTTCCAGCTCAGGGGGCTGAGTACCCTGGGGATAACTGACTTCAAAAGCCTTTCCAACATTACTAATCAGTTGAATTCTTAACTGCAGAGAATGTAGTGCTGTGTTCAAAAATGAACACAGAACTTTCAGAAACAAAAGTTAGATACCAGCAGAGTTGGTGTTCAAGTAATATATTAGTTACTCGAAATCCCAAGTTTAAATCATGCTTCTCTCAACCTCAGTGCAATTGTAGGTGGCACATAGTATAGGTATTTCCAGTCAGCTTTTCACTTGTTAGCTCAACTTCTCATAGCTGCCTGGAGCAATACAACAGATCAGCAAATATCTGCATACATTTATGCAATAATAAACTCCATCAGTTTCCTGTGTCTTTCCTCTTACTAGTTTTCATAGGCAAGACCATCTATATTCAAAGAAACATAAAATGTCATCTTTAAAAAAAAAATAAAAATAATCACCTTTCTTAAAATTTTAACTTCTAAGTAGTACTTCCTTTCTCTGAAAAGGGGCAAAACAATACCACCACCACCACAACAAAAACAAAAGTCCACTCCACTATCTGTCTACTTTGTATGCAGACAGTTCTTAACTGACAGCATTCACTAAGTAACACACACGGTTACCAGAAGTGTTGCTCTCCATCATATCTGATATATTCTGGTATCCAGTATCTGTCACATCACACTCGTTCTAAAGATAAATGAGACAAGTTTAAAGAACAGTGAGATATGTGAATTATCATGCTGTGATTACAAAAAACTTACACTATATAATCACAATGCAGTTCTGTCCACTGCAGTAATTGATGATTAAGGGGGTGGAGCATCTCCCTTATGAGGAAAGGCTGAGGGAGCTGGGGCTCTTTAGCTTGGAAAAGAGGAGACTGAGGGGAGACCTAATTAATGTTTACAACTATGTTAAGGGCAAATGTCATGAGGATGGAGCCAGGCTCTTCTCAGTGATGCCCAACGATAGGACAAGGAGCAATGGGTGCAAGCTGGAACACAGGAGGTTCTGCTTAAACTTGAGAAAACACGACTTGACAGTGAGGGTGACAGAGCACTGGAACAGGCTGCCCAGGGAGGCTGTGGAGTCTCCTTCTCTGGAGACATTCAAGACCCGCCTGGACGCCTTCCTGTGTAATTTCGTTTAGTTTCCTGCTCCGGCGGGGGGATTGGACTAGATGATCTTTCGAGGTCCCTTCCAATCCCTGACATTCTGTGATTCTGTGATGCTGTGATTCTGTAATGCTGTAGGCCTCTTATCTTAAAAGAAAACAAGCTTCCACTGACTACAAGAGCCAGCTGAAACTTCACACCTAAACTCACAGCAGAGGATCTTTTCTAAAACTTGTTTTTTATAAATGACAAACAAACACCATACTCTGAAAGGTAGACCACACCACAAGAATTCTCAAAGAAAAGCTGAGAGCAATCAAGCTCTGCGTGTTTCTAGACACCTCTCCTTTTCCCAGGAAGCAGGGGATGAAGTGCAGTAACAGAGGAGCACCCTACCAGAATAAATTACAGTTAAAACCCCTGTGGAATAACAACGACAGTATCTGAAAATCTGAAATAGAAGATAGTAATTTTAAGAATTTCATTTGCATGAGCAAAATGCAAATTCAAAGGTAACATGGGTGTGCATACTGGAGGCCTATCATCAAGACAATGTTTTTCTACAAGGCTTTTATAATAATCTAAACTAATAATTTATTTGATGTTTTTCTAACACTTCCTGAATACATGTGGTGAGTAGAGGCATAATGCTCAAAGTTATTGGAAGTTGTTGGCCAACAACTAATTTTATCAGAGGTTTCTTCTAAACACAAATGATGGATAACAGAAATTTCCACTCTCATTTTGAAGACCTGAAGACTCTAGCCTTTGCAGTTACGCAGACAGCCTTGAAAAGTCTGCAAGAAACCCAAAATAATTGTCTTGAGAAGCATGAACACACAATCTTTGGCTACACTATTGTAGATATTTGTTAATTTTCAGCCCATACCACAAAATTCACTACTGCCATATCTGGGAGCCCAGTATTTTGTCCTACCTATTCTGCTTGACCTGCCTACAACTGACTGCACATTTTCCACTCTGAGCAGGCACAAACTGGCTGGAATACAACACCCACAGCACCAGGCAGGTGGAGAAGCAAGCTGATCAGAGAGCCAAGAGCTTACAGCACAGACTACACAGCTCCAAGATGCTTGGACAACAGGAGCTCCCACCCAGCCACACGAGACCAGGAAAGCAATCCCCCAAAGCTTTCTTTCACAGCATGCACAGGCTAAGGAACATGCTGAGGTGCACTACACTACCAGCCTTAGAACTACTGAAAGTTTACAGAGCAGAACACATCAAAAAACAACTCAAAGTCACAATGAAAGCAAGCCGCTTCAGCTGTAACTTTCAAAAATGAGTTGAGGATACCCAGACTGTAGCTGGAAAGTATTTAACAAGGATGGAACAGACTAACGCTGCTACACACAGGGGGGTTTAAAAGGCAAATACAAAGGCTACTGTTGCAGAATTGGTCCCACTATGTTAACACACACAGACGACCTGGGAGCCACTAGTGAATCCTGGGGATTATGCAAAGCATGACTCAAGTCCTAAACAAGCACACTAATCACTTTTTCACACCTTTCACATGCCCAAATTATATGTACAGTAAGAGAGTATCTTAAATGTAATCTTCTTTCCTTAAGCCATTTGTATATCCTGCAAGTTAAGAAAACAGTCAACAGTTCCATCAATCAACTGATGCTTCTTTTCTGAAAGAATTAATAAAATAGTAGAATTCTTATAGTCTTGATACTCCCCACAGATATGTTCCAATATATGCACAAGGAAATCCATTTCACTACTGATATATTTGAAGCACTAAATCACATAAAATGAAGAAACATGAATTATCAGTAATGAGATCCAATTGAAAAATAAATTAGGTCAATACATACTATCTGGAAGTTTCTAAATTACGTACTGGTGTACACCAATACAATTACAATCTATGCAGCAACTAAAATAATTCCTGAGTTAATTTCCAGAAAACAGGTTACCTGAAGAGAGTTTCTCAGGCCTCATCAATTTAAAGTTAATTGCTAAGAGTTTTAAAATAACAGTTGGGCCTTAAGGATAAGAGGGGAAAAAAACAAAACAAACAAACAAAAACAAACCAAAAAACCCCAAGACAAAACACAGTAATAAAAAAATCAGTTTACAAAAGCAGCACCTCAAAGGCATCCTGCTTCCATATGTTTTACATAAATTACTTCATCTTAAAACATATAAATCTTTAGATTATAAGGATAAGAAAATACAGGTGGATTTAAGCATAGTCAGGTAAAGATCCTCAATTTTTCCTCGGAATGCTACACAAATGTAATCCCTAAATTGCATTGTCCTGACTTCTAATCAAATGCATACTGACATCTACAGATAAAAAGTGGATTTATTGAACAGCATTCACATGAACTCAACCCAATATCTGTCAATTAATTTATATTTTTTTCCCTTTCTTGTTCATCTCTGAACCAAGTGTTGAAGATAAATTTTGACCTTTGGTTTCATAAATGCACTAGGAATTTTTTTTTTTTTTTTTACTTAATCACTCAAAGTGCAATTCCTTCAAACATTTGCACTGGACTGAGGCTTCTAACCAAGAGGTAAAAAAGGATTCAGGGAAAGCGAGCAAGGCTGGATGCTCTGTTCTATCTAAACATCGCAGGTACAGGAGTATGAAGATACCGCGCATTTTAGGTGGACAGAACAGTGAAACAGTATCAATTTCTTCATTACAGAATCTTCTGAATATAAAGAACAAAACTGATATTGACACAAATCAGTAAGCCAAAAAAAAAAATAAAAATATAGAACATCTCCACCAAGTAAAAGTGACTTTGACT